TTTTCTGCGATTTGTCATCAATCTTAAGCTTTTTCAAAATTTGTGTGAATTAGTAATGATATATTATTATTTTTCTATTAACTATATTTGTTTTCAATTGTTAAAAATAAGCTTAAAAATAATGACAAATCAAAGTACATTATTTTTAAGCTTATTCAAAGTTAGTATTTTTTCATATTAAATATTTCATATCAAATGATTCAATATAATTAACAATACATATTTTTTAAACATTCGATAAATTCTTAAATTTTTTTCATTATCAATTTCATTTGTCTAAATATATGTTAATTTTTAAGTTTCTTTACTGTAAATAATTATCTTCATAACACTGTTAAAAACATTGAATCTAGGTATTAAAATAATTTGGAGCTACATAAAATATAGTTTTCGTAATCATATTAGAAACAACGTCCTCATGATAATGAAATTAACAAGATTAAACTTATTTATAATTTTGGATGTAAATAGTTTTACTTAAATGAATCAATAATCAAACAAAAAAGTGAAATAAAATTCGAAGAGGCAGCTTATAACTTTGAACATGCAAACAGGGAAATTAATGAACAAAAAAAAGGAAGAGAGAAAATTGCCTCATAACCGACTACTGATTCGAAATTAATGCGTTTTTAAAGACTCCACTTATTTTTTAAGCATAGAAAAGATCTGTTACATTATATATAAAAAAAAACGTAATATGTTTGAATCATTACGTAAAATTTCCATTTTGTGATTTTTAAATTTTAATTTTTTGAAAGTTTTTTAAGCAAAATAATTTAGTTACATTTTATTTCGTTTTTAAGACAAATATTTGTATAAAAGTATTACATTTTTTTTATATATAAATGTTTTTTAGTCGATTCTTCAAAATTCTTCAGCAATGAATCAGTATCAAAAGACGAAATTCTAACTAGTTTCTGAGTGTTCTTCCAAATTTAATTTTCTTTTGAAAGAATTTTTATATCTAAATAATACAGATGGAGTAAAATTCTCATAAAGTGTATTATTATATGAAACTAAGTTAACTTACAATATTTCATTAATGATTGTTACAAATATTTTCATTTATATTTTCAAACAAAATAATTTAGTTGCATTTTTTTTGTTTGTTTTCAAGACAAATAGTTCTATCGGAGCATTACATTTTTTTATATAAATGCTTTATAGACGATTCTTCAAAATTCTTCAGCAATGAATCAGTATCAAAAGACGAAATTCTAACTGGTTTCTGAGTGTTCTACCAAATTTAATCTTCATTTGAAAGAATTTTTATATCCAAATAATAGAGATGGAGTTTATAGATTTTACAAAATTCTCACAAAGTGTATTATTCTATGAAACTAAGTTAATTTACAATATTTCATTAATGATTCTTACAAATATTTTCATTTCTGTTAAGAATTTTCAATCAAAATAATTTAGTTGCATTTTTTTTTCGTTTTCAAGACAAATAGTTCTATCGGATCATTACTTTTTTTTATATAAACGACTCTTCAAAATTCTTCAGCAATGAATCAGTATCAAAAGATGAAATTCTAACTGGTTTCTGAGTATTCTTCCAAATTTAATCTTCGTTTGAAAGAATTTTTATATCCAAATAATACACATGCAGTTTGTAGATTTTACAAAATACTACAAAATTCTTACAAAGTGAACTATACTATGAAACTAATCAGTATCAAAAGATCAAATTCTAACTGGTTTCTGAGTGTTCTTCCAAATTTAATCTTCGTTTGAAAGAATTTTTATATCCAAATAATACAGATGGAGTTTATAGATTTTACAAAATAGTACAAAATTCTCATAAAGTGTATTATTTTATGAAACTAAGTTAATTTAAAATATTTCATTAATGATTCTCACAAATGTTTTAATTTATGTTAAGAATTTTCAGTCAAAATAATTTAGTTACATTTTATCTCGTTTTCAAGACAAATATTTCTATCCATTACCTTTTTTATAAAATTGTTTAATAGACGATTCTTCAGCAATAAATCAGTATCAGAGTAACTAAGTTTTCAGCGTTTTTCTCAAATTAATTTTACTTAAAAAATCCTTTTTTTAGTTCAAATAATGTATGTAAATTTTACAAAATACTACAAAATTTCAATATTTATTTTCATCTCGATGAAAATTGCAAATTTTAATCGTTTAATTACATTTTTTTTCAATAACTACTAATGCCATATAGTATTGATAATTATAACGAATAAATTTTCAAAATAATTGTATTCAAATTGTGTCTGATAATAAATAGAAATGCACATAAATTGAAATAATTATATCTAATATAATTTATATTTCTCATTAATAATAAAAATGCACGCAAAAGAGGCGTAGAAAAAAAAACAATACAGTTTAATTAATTAAGAAAACGCGTTACAAAAAAATAAGTATTTATAAACGAAAGATAAAGAAGAAAAAGCAATAATAAGCGAGAATTGATTGAATAATAAAACCGTAATCACTATTTCAGTATATTTTGTTAATTATATCTGAAAACAATTGAACCGCAACGACTTTAACATTTCTGAACGCGTTGTTTTGTTTTCTTATTTTTACACTACTATCTAGCATTCAATTGAATTGAAAACAACAAAAACAAAGAGAAACAAAATCATGTTATTTCTTCGACGCCATAGCCAAACAAATCATCGATTGATTTACATCTGCTATTCATTTCATTTGAAGCGAGTCCATCGATGATGATCCTCCTGATGGTAGTAAGTAAGAGCAAAGAAGTCCAAATCTAAAGAATCTTAGGAAACCCGAGCCGTCGATGGATTTACGCTCCTCGTCTGGAGATTAACGAGGAAACGTGTAATCCGAGGTCAAAAACCACTCCAAGAAGAATTTATGGTTCAAATCCACTTAAGATTAGACACACACACACAAAAAAGTAAATAATATTGGGGATCGGGCGTAAGAAGAATAAATGAGATTGAAATAAATGAAGACAAACTTAGTTTCAGTTCGCATCTCTTATTAATATTATTATTATTATAATTATTTTATTCTCATTATTCTTTTTTTTTTGTTTTGTTCACACTTTCTTTTCATCATTCATTAACATGATTTTTACAACAGCTTGACATAAATAAATTAGATATTAGGTAACGTAAAAAATCAACATGATCTACGATACTAAATCCTATAAAATTATATATATATAAATATTTATGTTCATAAATAGATTTATATATATATATATATTTATATGTATATGGATCGAGATTCCTGCGCTCGGATGATGACGATCAAAGAAGCTGCAGGAAATCATCCTGTTTACATACATGTATATATATATATACATATAGATTTGTTCGGGGAAACAAAAGAACGCCGAGGACGATGCGCCCCGGTCGCGTCCAACAAGAAACATTGATTACGTTTTAATTAATTATCCTTTTCTCCATCTTCAATTAATCATTAAACACTAACAAGATTTATTTTATTTATTTTTTTTTATTCTTTTAATATTTATTCATTTACTTCCTTAAATGCTTCGTCTCTGAATCCTCCCTACGTTCCGGTTCCGTTATTATAAAAAGCAACTTGTTTAATATATAATATACATATATCTTCTTTTTTTCTTTAAACTTTTCAATGAGATATGTTAGGTGATGTTCGAGTGAGGTGTGAAGTTGCGTTTTGTAACTTGAATGTTGTATATAGATTAGATTTTGTTGTTGCATCGGAGATGGGTTGATCCAGCGAATGGACAGAGGAAGGAAAAGTGGATGGTCTTCTTCGAAAGCTTTTTTTTTGTTTGTTTTTGTTTTTTTGTAGACTCGCTGGACGAAAGAACGGGAGGAAAATCTACGCTTCGATAATCTGATCTAAACTAATCCACCTATCATTGCTATTATTTACGACACCGGTAATTAATTGTTAATATAAGTATTAGTTGTGCACATCTTCATATTTGCGAGTAATAATTTTTTTTTAAATATTTAAGAACAACTGGGTTATTAATAAATTCGCGTTTTGCAGGCTGCGCTTCCATCGTCGTCAGGGGGATGGGGGTTGCAGGAGGGACGGTTTTCCAAAACAAATGATGATGAAATAAATGAATAATTTAAAAAAAAAAACGCAACTCGTCCAACCAGCCAATTGCTAAACGACTACGAAGCGACACGGAAGAAGACAAAGAAGTTTTTATATCATCAATTACAAATGCAGTTTTTTCCCATTTAAGTATTTAATTATTAATATTATTATTATTATTACGATTAGTATTATTAGTATAGATAATTACTGGTGTGCATGTGCGCACTTGGTCTCGGCTAATGGTTTATTTATTCTCTTTAAATCCTCTTAATTTTTTTGGTACAGACACCGATAGATTTTCTCTTGTTTTTTTTTTCATCCGCTGTCTGGACGCGAATTCCGGTGTTCAGTGCACTCAATCTTCATCAAGTATTTAATTAATTATCTTATTTGTTTTTGTTTTTTTTTTGGTTTTTCTTTTTCAATTATTTTATATAATATAATAAACCTCGAAACGCGCGTCTTCGAGTATGGCACGAGCAATGGCAGTGTCTCTCGGCCCTTCATTTTTTTTTTCTTTAAATTAGTTATGATATGAACATGAATGTACAATCTATATATTATACAAGGCAATTTACGTAAAGAATCTCTCCCATTTGCGTATGTGCGATTAATTCTCGCTGCTGCACATATCCAATCCCAAAAAAAAAACTGATGAGTTTATTATTTGCAAAATAAACATCAAATATAATCCGATCCGTCCACTTATTGTCGTCTCCAACGTCTGAACGAAAAACCAAAAAAAAAAATCTTTCCATTTTCATGTCCATCTTTTCTCCTTTCTTTTTCTTTTTAAATCGATTAACTAATTTAATGAATATTCATAGGCAGTGCTTCTTTTCACGACGTATATAAATTATATACGTATATATATATATATGTATAAATCTATTTCAATACGCTTCTTCCTCTTTTTCTTCATTATTTGTTATTGTTTATTATTTGTTTCGTTTCTTTCTTATTTGTTCCTCTCTCTCGTATTCCTTTATAAACACATTGCTTTATTGCTAAACGATGAATATACCGAAATTCAACAGGATCCGTCGAAACAAAACAAAAAGCTCAACACGTCTCCTCCGTCTCTTCGTCCATTTCGAAATCGGCCAGGTAGAATTCCTCGTCGTCAGGATCTTCCGTCAATGACACGCTAAGCTCATTCTGCAACAGAAGATATAAGATAACATCAGTTTCGTACATTTCTTTATGTATTAATTGCATTCAATTGTAATTGTATACTTTGGAGATAATTTAACAGCATAAAACACTAGATGTAGTCTCGACAAACGATTGCCAATATATTTCGTTACTAACTTCTACTATATTTGAATCTCTTCGTATATAAGTGACGGCTGTGCAAGGTAAGGTGGCAGATAATATACAAAGAATAATTTGGACATTATTTTGTCTGGAATGTAAAGTATAAAGTTTATAAACTTATTAAACATAAGTTATGTGTGGTTTTTTACACAAACAACCATCCTCATAGCTCTTTGAAATGTGTGTACGTAATTTCCACCACTGGGGTGTTTTGTCTAGTTTGAGAATAAAAAATGATGTATATGATGATGGCATAGCCCAATGCAGTTTTACGGAAATTTAAAGAAAGTTTTAGAGAAATTTAGAAGAAAAAATTACATAAAAATAATGAAATTGACGAAGACATTGAAGAAAAGTCAGATGATGAGCAGCAAGAAAATGAAGATGAACGACAAAACACACGACCATACACAGTTTCTGTGAATGACATCAGATATGATAGTCTTGGTCATTGGTCAATACTGCTAGGTGACCATGAACAACTTCGTATACTTGCAGGATGTACCCCACAATTAGAAACCATAAGTCCATATTAGTTTCAATATTACCTTGTGTATTAATAATTTATTATCCACTGATAATTTCGACCTTTTCACTAATAACCAGTAAACATTTATTTCTAAATATTGCCTGAATGTGATCTTTCCAAATAACGAAGAAATGTCTGAGCTAAGAACTAAGAAAAAAATGTAGAAAAAAGTGGAAAAACTGTATTTGTAAGGTATAGAAAGGAACAGTACAAATTCCAAGTTTAGCTTCTATTAACATTTCATTATCGCTATACCATTATTATGTAACAAAGAAAAATGCAGTTGTTACCATTGTTGAGGGCACCGATAAAAATGCATTTGTTTTCCCCTTTTCCGTTATGTACAGACTTTTACGAGAGGTTGACTATAAAAATAAATGAAGCGCTCTTATGGACGATTGAGGACTTCCTTCTACTACTTTACCTAGTTTACCCTAGTTTTCAGCGCGTTTATTAACAACGCGCACCAATTTGCTGAGTCATACAATAAGAATTCGCACTCTGAATTCAAGCAAGAAGATGAACTAATTTCATTTTATCATCATTTTATTTTATATCGAAATATAAGTTTTTTGTTTCAGTGATTATCAACCATGATGGTGTATCGTACTGTGAGATGATGAATTAATTTTTATAGGTTCAAGTGTGCCTTGAAATAACAAACTTAAATATGTAATCTGATAATAACCTGTAGTTATAGATAATTCATTAAAACTTTTCCATTGGAAATCCAAATTATTCTACAATTTATTGTAATTATAGTAGCAATTAATTGTAAAATGTATGATCTGAAATAATCTGAAATTGGTGTTAGGTCATTCGTGCACGTTTCATCCTTGATTTTCTTTTAAAATATAAAATGTATCGAACGACTAAATTGAAGTGAAGCTAACGTTTCCTTCTGGAAACAACTTAAATATTCCTCGCAATTTCAACGAATTTATCGATTTCAGAGCTTCAATTTAAGGCTTTAAAAATCAATAATATGTCAAAGCTATTTTGTACTAGTTATTGTTATTTGATTACTATTTCTTATTGTATCTGCATTGGAGATGTTTATTATCGAGATGATTGATGAGGTCAAATAATATATACTTTTTTTTCGTTTGAAATTAAATGGTTTTCGACGTGATCTCGACGATAAATCACAGAGATAAATGGAAAGTTTGCGGCAATTAATTTTGTATTTTAGAGGTACTCGTTTGATCGTCGATAAAAGCGACGACTGTCAGAATTCGAATGTGATATTGCAATATTGAAGATCGCACTCGCAGCTGACATAACATAGGTGCTTGATTCGAGCATCTATATTTATCCAACAACCTTTATCGCACTCGAAGTATTATATTTTTTTTATATTATTTTTACATTTTTATGCACACTGTTAGACTGAAAATCTTTTAGATGTGATAATACATATTTGGAATACAGTTTACGTTATCTAAAATTGTAGGAAATTCCACTATTGGTTCATAATTAGTTCGTTTGCGTAGATGTGGAGGGAAATTGAACCGCAAATTATGATTCACGGGAAATAATTGAGTTAATATACCTCGAGTTGCAGCCGCTCAACAAGTCTCCGTCTATCAGTTTTCAGCTGATCCACCTCTTCCGCCCTTTTGGCACTTCGAATTCCCGACATCTCCAGCAAAGCCAGATGCGCATCCTTCTCGCTGATTGCGGCCTCGAGCGCTTCCCTCCTGCAAATCGAAAGTAATCAAAGTAATTCATTTCAAAATTATTCCTCTCAATCATCGTCGCTCACTTCATGTCGGCTAACTCGTGCAGCTGGTGCTTCCGCTCCTTCACCAATTGACCGAAACGCGATTGAAGAGAATGCATCTTGAGAAGCGTTGGTCTGCAGGAATGGCATCGTAACGCCTGTGCCGTTTGTATCGAAACCAAACGCTGCTCCAATTTTGCAACCTTAAATTTGGACATTATTGATGAAGACAATTTTTCTGTGATAAATTTGCAAAATTCATAAATCGTTTAACGACTGATGAATTTATACCTTCTCGACGACGCGCTGTCTCTTCCTATCCTCCTCAGCTATATCCATGTCTCTCTGCTCTGCAATCTCCATGCTCTCCCTCAAAGCTTCCTCCAATTCCAAGACTCGAATCCTCTTCTCATCCAAAGCACCAAAAAGTTCTTCCAGCTTCTTACCATTATCGCTTGCAGTTACCTCCAGCTCTTTTATAGTATCCTCCTTCCTCTCCAATTTGGTGGTCAGTATTCCAATTTCGTTTCGATTCTCTTTCAGCGCGTCCTCGTACGATTCCACCGTGTCCATCAATTTAGAAATGTACGAGTCCTTGGTCTCTTCGTCACTTTCCTCGATCGTTTGTATTTCGGAATGCTGTTGTTTTACGAATGTGTGATGTACATATATTTATATATATATTTAGATAACAAAGCGGAAAATGTACAACATGTCAGAAATAATAAAGAAACGCTCAACGAAAATTAGTAATCATATTCCATTTGAGTGAGTGAGTGTAGTGTTTAAGGTATGTATGTGTCGAGTGTGTATGTGAGTGTGTATGTTTTTGTGTGTGTGTGTAAAGATTGATGGAAGGTTAAAGGTCTTTAGAAGAAGCTTTTCAGGAATCCGGCTGGACCAGCCTGAGATTATACAAATACATACGGATCCAATGTTAACGAGTTGTTAGAGGGATGCAAAAAGAGAAAGAAATTGTATTAGTACACGATTCAAGCTGAAGACGCTGATTAACAGTTTTATGATAATTTACCTCCTCCTTTTTTCTCTGCTCCTCTAGTTGCGCGTTGACCTGCTGCTGCGATTTCAGTTTTGATTGCGCCGCTTTAAGTGCCCTGCAAAATATTAACAAATAAAACATTAATAAACCTTACAAAATATTGGTATTTTGAAACTCTTACTGTTGTAGCTCCATGATGGTCTTCTCTTTAGTGTTTTGCTCCTCCTGACTCATCTGCACTAATTGAAGAAGCCTCTCCATTTCGCCTTCTTTCTGCTTGGCCTCGTCCATTGCCTTCTTGTAATTCTGCTCGGCCTGTGATAACTTCTTGTTCAGTTCTCCGGCCGCAGCTGCTCCTCCTCCAGCCTACAAAAATCCACAAATTGCTTAGAATAATCGTACAAAAATTGATTCAAGTACCTTTTTAAGCTGCGCTTCCAATTTATCCATTTGGTCTTTCCTCCTTCTCAGATCTTGATCCATCTCGTTGATGTGCTTCTCCTTCTCCAGCATCTGCTTGTGTTTGGAGTCCACTGTTTTCCGTTGTTCTTCGAACTGACGACGCTGCTCATCGAGCTGCTTCTTTTGTGCGATAATCTCTTCGTTCTGCTTCTGCGGCGCAACGTTGTTATGCATCTTCTTCGAAACTTCCATAAGTTCCATCTATAATTAGCAATATCATTAAGTATGTTGAAAGATGTCAATAATTATCAATTTAGAAATTATAATAAAATTAAAAGTAGGTCTGTTAGTGTAAAATAAAGTGTTAAAATAAAACGCAAATAATAAAATAATAATATGTTTCTTTTGATATATCATCGTTTTGTTTTATTATTCTAACTAAAATAAATAAATAAAAGTTTGATGTGTTGTAGTGAGTTCTAGTGTATCTAACCTGATTCCGTTCCAGCTCTTGCACCAGCATTTCCAGTTGCGCCTGAAGACGATCCTTCTCTGTGTGGCTATTCTTTAGCTCTGCCTGTCCCTTTTCCAGCTCCTTCTTCAACCTGACCATTTCCTTGTCGTCCTGCTGTGGATGTATACCGCCTTTCTGGTATTGAGCCATCTGCTGAAGCTGTTGTTGTAGCTGCTTCTCCATGACTTGGATGCGCTTTTGCAGCTCCTGAGCGGCTTTTTCAGCTTGATCCGCTCGAGTTGTCTCTGTTTCGACCACTTTACGCCACTGCTCCAATTCGTTGTCGCCTCTGGCACCAGTTTCTTGCAGACGTTTCTCGGCTTTGTCAGCTCTTTGCCTGTGGTTGTCGCGCTCCTTCTGGATGTTAGCAAGCTGCTGCTGGAGTTTCTGAATTTCTCTATCCCTATTCTCGAGCATCTCCTTGGTGCCCCTCTCGACGTCCTGAGACATTCGCTTCTGTTCATTCTTGAGTCTTGTCACTTCGGCCTTTTGCCTTTCTAAATCTGTTTCGCTCTGATTGAGCTCCTGTTGGAATTTCATCAGCATATCTTGGGACTTCTCCAGTTGCATCACCAATTGATCACGTTCCATGGTCAGCTGCTTGATGTCTGCTTCGTATTTGACGATTTGCTTTTCAACAGAATCTCCTTGTCTACCCTGCTTGTCTAGCATCGAGGCGATCTTTTCGCGTTCTCTGGAAGCTTGGGCTAATTCTTGTTGCAGCTTAACGATAGTATCTTGAGCCCTGTGATCGATGGTTCTACGTTGCGAGTCCATTCCACTACGAACCTGCTGCACTTCTGCATGCAGCACGTCTCTCTCCTGTTCTAGCGTTTTCCATTCGATCTTCTCCCTTTCGATCCTCTCGTGCATTCGTGTCAGTTCATTAGCCATGTGTTCGAACTCGATTTTCGTGGCTTCGTTCGTCTCTAAAGCCTTTGCAAGATGAATCTGGGATTTTTCGAGCTCCTGGGCCAATCTACCTGCCTCCAGTTCTGTAGCATCTCGAGCTTGTATCGCCTTTTCCAATTTTTCCTTCAAACGTTCCACCTCTAACCTTTCATCCGATCTGACCTTATCCGCGGCCAAAGTTTGTCTTCTCTCCGTTTGTGCCAATTCCACGCGCAACTTTTCATTTTCCTTCTCCAATTTTTCCATTTGCAGTTTGAGCTTTTCGTGCCGATCTCTGAGCTTCTCGCATTCAATGACTGCCCTTTCCAATTCGTGACGCTGTTTGTCTTGTCCTCCCGAGACTTTGGATACTTCGGCCCTGGCCAAATCAAGTTGCATTGTTAACTCGTGCAACTTGGTTTCGAGCTGTTCAATCGTGTTAACGCTTCTTTGCAATTCATCCCTCAGTCTGTCAGTTTCAGCCGATTTTTCCTTCTCCTCGTACTGGTATTTACCGCGACTGGTCTCGGCTAAAGCCAGATCCTTCCTCGATCTATCCAATTCCGTTAAGGTCTTATCCAATCGTTCTCTCAATCTATCCACTTCGGCTCTGAGCCTATCATTATCCTCCTTGGTTCTCTCATCTCTGTCGTACTTTGAATATCTGCTCGCGGCTGTCGTGGTGCTTTCGCGCAGAGAATCGTACTCCCCGACGACTTTTCTAAACTCATTCTGCAGAGTATCGTGCTTATCTCTGATCTTCTCCACTTCGATTGAAAGACGCGTCGCCTCTTCCTGCGCCTTCTCGTAACTGGCTTGAGCCTTGTTACCTTGAATGTGTGATCTTTCCAATTCGTACTGCAATCTCTCGTTCTCCGATTGCAACTTGTCCTTTTCCGTTTGCAATCTTCGACACTCCAATTGAGCTTTCTCGTATCTCTCTCTCACCATCTCCATGTCCATGCCAAGTCTACCCAATTCCTCCTTCGACTTTTCTTCCATCTCCTTTGTACGGGCCAATTGCATTTGCGCTCTGTCGTGCATCTCCTGCAATCGCTGATATTCTTCCTGCAGTTTTCTTTGATCCTCTCGCGATTTTGTCTGCAACATTTGCTGCTTCTCCACTTCAATCTCGAACCGATCCTTGTCTGCTTGAATCGTCTCCAATTTGTTTTGTAGTCTGTACAGATCGCTCTGCGATCTACGATAAAACAGAAATAAACAAACATAAGATATCGACGCTCACTCGCCAAACTATTTAACCCAAGTACGTACCTATCGTATTTTTCCAACAACTTATTGAATTCCTTGTTGAGATTTTCGCGTTCATCCATGATCTTTTGCGTGGAATACATGGATTTATCAAGTTTCTCTTTCAATAATTCAATTTCGTTAATAGCATCGTCTCTCTCTATCTGTATCTTCTGCTGGAGCATGTGTGCCTTGTCCCATCTCTCCTTCAGTAGGTCGAGCTCAGTCTCGATATCTGCTTTTTCTCTTTGCGCTTTAGCAACTTGGCTTAGCTGTATTTCAAGACGTTCTTTAATCTTATCGCACTCTTCCTGAAAACTTTCCTTTTCCTTCTGGAGCCTAGTCACCGCAATCTACAACGCCCAATTTTAGACCACGTGAACAAGTGCGAGATACACAACCAGAAGAGTATTATTAGTATTATAGGATTATGATTATTGATTAGTTGATTGTTATGATGATTATTATTATTATTATTAATGTTATTAATATATTATTGTTACCATAATTATTATTAGTAATTATTATGAGAGTGTATATATATAAATGAGTAGTATATATTATTATTGTTATTATTATTACCTGTGACTTTTCGTACTTATCTCTAAGACGATCTGCTTCTAGATGTGCGGTATCTTTGTCCTTCTGTAATCGAGCAGATTGCCCTAGAGCCTTGTCCAATTGCGATTGGACATTCTCTAAAGCGTACTCTTGTTTTTCTTTTTCTAGTTGTATCTGCGGTTCGGAAAAGGAATTGTGAATTATATTGTGATGCGTGTGAATGACTACTGAATATTGCGTATTGCTTTACCCTGCGTGCTTCCGCCAATGCTTTGTCGAGCCTCTCTTGCATTTTGTCGACATCGGTCTGAGCTTTGTCCAAGGCATTTTGCAGCTTGTCCTGCTGCGACTGGGCCTTTGCCAAGGTCGCCTGTGAGCGCTCCAGCTCTTCCCTGGCCTTCTCGAGGTCCGCCGTAGAACGATCTTTGTCGGCGTGAAGACGAGCCATAGTAGACTGCGCCCGTTCCATCTCCTCTCGTAGACTTCCCTGCTCTTGATGAGAATTCTCCAGGCGTGCCTTGAGGCGGTATACTTCCCCCTGAGACTTTTCCAGTTTCTCCTGCAGAGCCATTGCCTCTGTCTTTGCACGTTCGTTGTCGGCTTGGGTCACCCTCAACTCTGCCTGGCATCGTCTCAGTTCGGCCGAGGTCTTGTCCGAACGATCATAAGTGCTCGTATCGAACTCCTGCGACCTGCTAAGAGCGCTTCTGCTAAACGACGATGAGAGTTGAGCCCTATCCAGATCCGATTTGAGTCTTTCGTTCTCCAACTCTAAACGTGCCAATCTCTGCCTCGCTTGCTCCCAATCGGCACCGCTTCTTCCCACCTCAACACTGAACTTATCAAGCTCTGCCTTCGACTTGCCCAGCTCCGATTGGGAACTCTCCAGCTTCGTCTCCAATCTATCCCGATCACCCTGGGCACGCTCCAACCTTACGCTGAGCTTCTCTACTTCACTGTTCAGAGCGTGCAGCTTCATCTTGTATTCGGCAATCTCTCTTTCGTGCAATTCCCGTTCTTCTGCCTTCTCCTGCTCGGCCCGATCTCTTTGTTCTCTCAGCTGATTCATCTGCTTCTCTTTATCACCGATTGCTTCCTCAAGAGATGAAAGGGCACCCTCCGATGAGCAGTGGTGAGCCTGCATTGCGTTCAAACGGGCTCGCGCCATATCCACTTGGTTGTCTTTCTCTTTCAACAAATCCTCCAAATTCTCTACCTGTGTTATTAATAACCATTATCATATTCCGAATTCGATCACTTTGGAACACTCACAAAATATATAATAAACAAACAAACAAAAAACATAATGTGCGAGATAATTTGGGAATATCAAGTGATTTAGAAGTTCGTGCGTTTTCATATTACGGTATTTTTCGGAAAATAAGACACACTTTTTAATGTAAAAAAATCGAATCAGAAACGAGTATGTCTTTTTATGCGAAAATGACGGTATCTTATTCTCATTTAATTAGTGTATTCCGTATTCCTATTGGAGATCATCAAAACCTACATTTTAAAATAAACTAAATAACCAAGATAAATTAATTAATGTTCTTGATTTTGTATATCTTGAAGAAACTCTTCAAAATTAACATTTCAGAATAAATGTAACATTAATTAATTACTTTTCAGAAAACACACTGCACCATATTAAGAATATGTGGGAATGAATGCGATTTATTCCTTAAATCATATTGTACCTCTTCAAATCGCATAGTTTAGTTTATCATAAATTTGAAAAAAAATCCAGATAAATCAATTAGTTGAGAAATTGATATTGAGGGTTCTAAATTCGATCAAATTTAGGTAAAAATTATATTGGTAAGGTTGGGAACGAATCGCGATCTTCACGATTTCGGTACAACAAAAACTTTGTTAGACACGTTTATCCTATTACACACAACTAGACATAAATCAATTATTATAATATCAATGCTACAATATTATTTATATAGAATATTGCGAGAGTGAAGAGAAAGATGGTTGCAAGCGTTGCGTTGCTTTCTAAGGGGTGGATTTAACATTTAGAAGCATGTGGTTAGATGCAGGGTAACATTTAGTAAGTATTAGTTATTAGTAACATTTAAGAGTGAATAACAAAGCTTTAGTTGTTTGCGAATTTGTTCGAATTGTACATGAAGTGCACGATGCATCGATGTTGATTGATGCCTAATGAAAATGTAAGATAAATAAAGAAAATGGTAGAACTAAGAGTTGATTCGTAGCATGATACAAATATATACAAGGTAGAACAATGTAGAAGATGGTTCAAGTTCAAGTGATTGAAAGCGTAGCTTGTATATTTGTATCATGGATTCGTTGAAGGAAGAGGAAGTGAAGGTAAATTTACCTTGCGCTGAAGGACATTAATTTTTCTGTCCTTGATGTCCATGTGCTCCCTCATCTCTGCAATTTCGGAGCCGGCACGCTGCCGTTCCTGCGTGAACTGCTGCGTCTTCTTCTCGATGTGCCTGTTCTTTTCGTCCAGCCTGGATCGAAGCTCGTCGACGTCAGCCTGCAACATGTTGTAGTGTTCCTCCTTGGCGCAAAGGGACTCCTTCAGAACGGCGATGTGACGCTGGTAGTCCTGGTGCTGCTCCTCGAGAGTCTTCATCTTGGCACTCATTGCGAGGATCTCCTGGTCCCGACGTTGAATCTCCACCCGGAACTCGTCGAGCTGCACACAGGAGCGAATGCATGCACTACCCATGCAGGACACATGCGTGCCGAGAGACAGTGAGGTGGTAAAACGGTCAGCACTAAGCGGCCGGAGAGTCTTTACAATTAGTTACAGTATGCCAAGTACTGAACCATCCTTCCCGAACTGAACATCGTTCAACAGAAAACTTACTTGTCGCTTATAGGGAGTGGAGGAGTCCTGAGGTGCGTTTGAACCACCAAGACGTTCCACTTCGTTTTCCAACAAGTGCACTTCCCGTTCTAGAGTCGCTATTCTAGCGTCCTTTGTGTCCAGCAGCACTCGGACCGTGCTGCTGGAGGGCGAAGGAACCATTTCCAGCTGTGACTGCAGCGTGCGCAACGTCTCGTTGGCCGCCCGCAGTTCCTGCACAAGGTTTCACAAAAATTTTCAACTTACACACCCCCTACCTACCTACCTTCGGCCGGCGCTTTACCACCACTCTCACCCTCATCTTCCTCACCTTCATCCAACACACTCGCACACTCATTCGACCAACTACGGCATCCATTTACGCAACATACACGCACCATCACCAACATTCTTTCTCGATCATATAATAATACCTGCTTCTGAGCCATCGCCTGCATCTGTTGGAACATTTGACGTTCCTCCTCTTTCCCTGGAACACACCGATTTCAACGAACGCATTAGATGGCATCACCCCAAGAAACCCAATATCTTTGACATTTAGCCGGGAACGAAACTAGCACCACTGTAACCATGTAAGACTCTGCTTTCCAAGACTCGCTTTTCACAACTCTTATATTTTTATACCAAAACAAACACGTGTATGTGCGATGAACGGAAACACCAAAAACTATATCTACAAAACATTTAGTCATAAATGCACAGTCAGGAGGATGATAGAAGTGAAAAGTAGAATTATAAGTTTGGTGCAAGAGATCAAGCATCTACTATATGTAAGTAAAGTAGTACTCGAACTTACCCATTCCTTTATTTTGCAGCATTTCAAGTAGCTTCTTGATGCTCTCGTCGCGCGCCTGCAGCGTCTGCTTCTGGGTCTCGATCCTCAGCTCCAATTCCTGCAAACCATCTTCCAATTCAAATCCGATTCTATTAATTTCCTAATATTCCATCACCTTTATGGTATCTCTCAATATGGCAATTTCTCTGGTCAGATGCTCATTCTCCTGATAAATGACCTCCATCTGCTGCTGCATCTCTATGCTCGGTCCTCTCATCCGCATCCTCAACTCCTCCTCCAACTGTCGAACCAACATGGCTTGTTTCTGCAAATAACACCAAACAGTTTAGACCACAGCTTCATAACTCAATATTTTAAGGAAGTTCGTTAATTTATGATATATTAGGGTGGAAAGACCTCGGTCGTTAGCCCTTTGGCCAGCCTATTAATATATTTTTTATTTTATGTATTTTTTCTTCTTCTGTATTGATGTTTGGCTAATAAATTATTATTATGATATATTATACCAATATTAATATCGTTTAAAAGGAATGTCATTTCCATCGAACAAAACTGTATAGAATGCAATTACTGCTTCAATAATTTCAGTTCGGAGAATATTTCATTAAAACCTGATTTTCGATTTAATTAAATCCATTTACATACTCAACTTCATTAACATCAAAGAAAAACATGCATATTTCTATTTATATAAAAAAAAAACTAAATATTATTTTAATAAATTAAAATGTGTATTCGTGCTTTTGCGTTTACGCGAGAATTTCGAGACCGGCGTTACGTTTTCATAACATGCGAATCGCAGTGCATAAAAAATGCGATTAAACGGCCGATTAACGAGTTCCCACTCGACATTGCGGATTCATTAATTTCGCTTCCGATAATAATAGCAATTATTGCTCGTATCGCGATTAACGTACGAGTCAATTGGATTGATTGCAAACGCAATTATGTAATGATGCCACCTCTCTCCGAAGATAAACAATTTGAGTAATCACCGCACGGTAAAACAATTGCTATAATTGATCGAAAGTGCAATAAGCTCAATGACATTCGCACGCTGTGATCTAATCTACGCATATCAGAATACATTCCATTTGAATTACGTTTATCTAACACTCTTTTTCATGTTATGTCCAGTGTTGTGTCATGTTTTGCATTGTGTTATGTTTTTGTCTGTAATCTAATCTATTGTTCAGTGTTATATCATGTTTTCACGTCCTGCATCGAACTGTGACAATATGATCCGTTTTGTATAACTTCATGGCTGATACTTTGTACTGATTCATGTCATATTCAATCTCACGTTATCTATTTCCTCAAGCCATCTCTCACGTCCTCATGTCATGTTTTATCTAATATCATTGTCCAGTCTAGTATTGAATGTCTTGTGCTCACACCCTTCCTCATACGAAACATGTTGAACAATCAGCCTTTTGGGAGGACTAAAATGTACTCGATTCGGTGCGTCATATTCATCATCCCTTGCTGCTAATAAACGATAACGCTTTTGCAATTAATCCAATTGTTGTTTATTGTCACTGATACGAGCACAAAAATGTATCCTACGTAATCCAATAATATATGGAATATTAAATCAATCGAAGCAACCACGTACTTAGGACAATTGAATATATATGGCGTCCACATGTCATATTTTGTTTAGAATTATGTCACCCGTCAATTTTATGTCATATTAAATCATGTTATGTCTTTTATTAAGAAAACCTACTTGACTTCATAATTACATATCTTATATTATGATTCATGTCCTGTATAATGTCAATGACTAGTGTGATCCCATGTAGTTATGTCCACTTTCGAATGTTTTTATGTCACACTTTGTTTAAAATAATGACACTTGTCAATTTTTTTGTGTTTGTGTCAAGTCTCATGGTATGTCCTTCCTCCTTCTCCTTTTATGTCTCATATTTGTCCAAAACATCAAAAAGTTTATTTTTTAAATAATAAAATGAACATCACTTTATATTTAATAATTTATTAAAAAAAAAAAGACTCAATAAACGGTTGGATATAAGCTAATAATATTTATATGTTACGATTGGAAATGTTTGCATATGCGATGTAATTTATAAACATCGATTTTATTAAAAACGGAAGCACCAACGCAAATATGATGTAGAATAATAAACGCAATGCGCGCTGATTTCCAGTTCGATATTACAATTAAAATTTAATTATATTCATTTGCATACAATTTACTGAGAATATCCGTTTAATTATGAAATTCTATTTCGAATTAAAATAATTTAATGCAAATACAGCCCACATACCTCGCATAGTGCGGTTCCGCGAATATCGCGCACTCATTGAAACGATACAAAAATACTGAATATAAACCGCTGTGTAGTGGCCATATATACTATTTTGCATAAGAACATAGTTTACTTTGTAAAAAATGGGCGAATGGATCCGCCGTTCGTCTGCAAATACTTATGTTGTTCATATTATCAGGTTTGTTTTAGAATTTAAAAATATTAAGAACTGTAAGAAGAAGATGATTAAAAATGTGTATTGTATGTTGAGTTGGCAATTCTGTTAGTATACATTTGATCGATAAATAATTATGTATTTTTAATAATAATAATTATAGTAGACTGTTGAAATGAAATGAAATGTTTCCTTTGTTTAAATAAATTACTATAGACCGTTGCCTAGATTAAACGGAACAAAGGCCCCCCAGTTGATTGAATTTCGGTAGAAACGGGTCAACGTGGTCGACGATCGCCAATCAGGTTGTAACTTTCTTGCGAATCTAAATACTGCATTGTGCCATACGTGCACGTAGTTAACTATTACTATTCATTTGAATTTGCGTCGACCGTTGCAAAAGTTTAATGGCGTTACGCAAACCGCGCTCGGTGTATTTCAATGATAAGATTTTAATTAGGGAGCGTGCGAAACGGCGGAGGCGCCGGTATCAATACGAGGTTTCGTGGAGCGAATTTAAAACATTCCGCATGGCTGAAAACCATTGCATTGTTCGCCGTCTGCAATTGTGTCAAAGAATTAAATATTTCAGACGGATGCGAACGCAACAATAAAGCAGGAGCTTTAATGAAGGAAGCATGGAAGGAAGAAGAGTTTTTTTCTTCTTCTTCAGTTCGTTATTTCTATCCGTCTGTCTTCGCATTAATATCATGCCAATGGTATAGGATGAATAGGGAATGATGGGGTATTATTCCAGTACGCAACTCGACCTCGGGTCAAAACTTTAAGTTTTTGGCGAACAATTGGGAAGGAGTGAAAAGTGCTCCGATTCGGTTCGAATCTCTTACTCTTTAGTGTCCTTGATAAGAGCTTAAAATTGCATTATTATTCGAATTATATAAGGAATATTCTATATTGAATCAATTGAATCAACTACGTACTTAGGAATAAGTTTCCATTGGACATAATATACAATGGAGAATGATAAAGAAAAAAATAAATTAAAATATGCCTCAGTAGGTCCAATCAAAGCAACTGGTTTTCTTCAATGCAATTTAAGCAAAATAATTTTTGTGGTCTTTGCACTCACTTTGGTAACTATATAATTAAGTAGTTATAATGTTTTGTCCAATAACAAAAACTTTTTGGTCAAAATTTGATGACATCATTTTATTGATTTGTCCTTTATTTAGCTTTAGCTTTAATATAGATTTATTCAAACTAAATGTCTTTTGGTTTTCATCAAATTTGAATGATCCAATTTAGGCATTTATGAAAACTTGTAAATGCAAATAATTTATATTTAGGTAAATTATAGTTAAAACTTATATAATTTGAGTTTTTAATAGTTATAATTCGTTTTGTGTATAAAACTTAATTGTTAATTTATTAATTAAATAATTAAAGAATATTTTATTCAAATATGACATCTGTCAAGATTACCAAGACATTTCGATTATCAATAGTAATTGGTATTCAGTTTTGTATTATAAAAATTGTCCATTTTGTCCAATGACCTTTTGTCATCCTTTCGAGAACTTTATGATTCTGTGATCATAGAACTTCTGGTCTTTTTCAACAAAAAACTAATACTAGTCCTGATCAACAAAGATGACCAACGTTCTGGTCATCTTTGAGTGAAAAAATATCCAATTCTGACACGTGCGTTCTGTTAATATATCTCTTGGTGAACGTCAGCAACTTTCATGCTTTTACGAAAATATAAAAGCAAAATAAGTTGAAACTGTTCGTTACTTCACTCCATGTTAAAATTGACAGCTGCAAACGAAATTACGCACAATTTGCATATAAAGTAAGCTAAAAGTGACATTTGTCAAATGTCACACTCCTTCAAACATAAATTTCTTTCTTTTCGACTCAATGTATCATATTAAGGATCATCAAGTGTGGCTGCAATATTAATGAAATAAAAGCTTTATAATATTGTATAAATTTAAAGATTATATAAATGTAATCTTTTGCAAAAGAAAAATGAAAATTTTAAATAGTACTTGAAGCAAAACCACTGAGAATCTGACGATTATGATATCATAAAATTAAATCGCGCCTCCTTCGTGCCCGAGAAGAATGTGTGCTCGCACATTTTTTTTGTATCTTGTTTTCTTGAGTATCGATTCATGAATGAGCTGCTGCGCACGCTTCAATTTCCACTCATCCTTTATTTTTGTTTCCCCTTTTTTTCTTCTTTTCTTTTTGTTCTTTTGCTTGCTTCTCTATTCGCTTGCTGGAGATGTGCGGCTCGAACGTGTCGGTAATCAAATGCGCGACGAGCCAAAAAAAGGTTCTTTGACGAAGAGCAGCAAAGTTTTGATCCAGTTTTTAATTTTTTTACTTTATTTTTTTTTTCTATCTCTCTCACGATTCAAATCCGTGCATTTCACATACTTATGTTCATACGTCCGTGCAGAAATTGTCGTGGCGGAGGAGAGATGTGAGTGGAAAATAGATTAGTAAGAAGGGAAGAAAGAAAAAAAAATACGATGAGGGAGTTGAGGGAATGTTGTACGGAGGTCGTCGACCCTTCACTTTATGCATCGATCGTTGGATGTTACCCTCTCTCCAAAGCCAGCGGCACTACGCTACACACACACACATTTCGGAGGCGGCCCTGGAATCCTACACCCCTTCTAAAACTCAATACCTCATTCAACAAGACGCGAGCGCGCAAACCGAGGCAACTAGCAAATATCTGAGCCAGAAGGGAACGGAGGAAGTAATAAGGACGTACCATGAGAAACTAGTTTCTTCTTTTTTTTGTTGTTGTTGTAAAATAAAGAAACACCAATAAGACTGGGCATTATTACGAAAACTTCCACTAACAATCTAACTGTTTCA